AACCTTAACCTTTAGTTACAGAGTACCCTAACCTTAACCTTTAGTTACAGAGAGTACCTTAACCTTTAGTTACAGAGAGTACCCTAACCTTAACCTTTAGTTACAGAGAGTACCCTAACCTTTAGTTACAGAGAGTACCCTAACCTTTAGTTACAGAGTGTATCCTAACCCTAACCTTTAGTTACAGTGTACCCTAACCTTTAGTTACAGAGTGTATCCTAACCCTAACCTTTAGTTACAGTGTACCCTAACCTTTAGTTACAGAGTACCCTAACCTTTAGTTACAGAGAGTACCCTAACCCTAACCTTTAGTTACAGAGAGTACCCTAACCCTAACCTTTAGTTACAGAGTGTATCCTAACCCTAACCTTTAGTTACAGTGTACCCTAACCTTTAGTTACAGAGTACCCTAACCTTTAGTTACAGAGAGTACCCTAACCCTAACCTTTAGTTACAGAGAGTACCCTAACCCTAACCTTTAGTTACAGAGTGTACCCTAACCCTAACCTTTAGTTACAGAGTGTACCCTAACCCTAACCTTTAGTTACAGAGAGTACCCTAACCCTAACCTTTAGTTACAGAGTACCCTAACCTTTAGTTACAGAGTGTACCCTAACCCTAACCTTTAGTTACAGAGAGTACCCTAACCTTTAGTTACAGAGTACCCTAACCTTTAGTTACAGAGTGTATCCTAACCCTAACCTTTAGTTACAGAGAGTACCCTAACCTTAACCTTTAGTTACAGTGTACCCTAACCTTTAGTTACAGTGTACCCTAACCTTTAGTCACAGAGTACCCTAACCCTAACCTTTAGTTACAGTGTACCCTAACCCTAACCTTTAGTTACAGAGTACCCTAACCCTAACCTTTAGTTACAGTGTACCCTAACCTTTAGTTACAGTGTACCCTAACCCTAACCTTTAGTCACAGAGTACCCTAACCCTAACCTTTAGTTACAGTGTACCCTAACCTTTAGTTACAGTGTACCCTAACCTTTAGTTACAGTGTACCCTAACCTTAACCTTTAGTTACAGAGTACCCTAACCTTAACCTTTAGTTACAGAGAGTACCTTAACCTTTAGTTACAGAGAGTACCCTAACCTTAACCTTTAGTTACAGAGAGTACCCTAACCTTTAGTTACAGAGAGTACCCTAACCTTTAGTTACAGAGTGTATCCTAACCCTAACCTTTAGTTACAGTGTACCCTAACCCTAACCTTTAGTTACAGAGTGTATCCTAACCCTAACCTTTAGTTACAGTGTACCCTAACCTTTAGTTACAGAGTACCCTAACCTTTAGTTACAGAGAGTACCCTAACCCTAACCTTTAGTTACAGAGAGTACCCTAACCCTAACCTTTAGTTACAGAGTGTATCCTAACCCTAACCTTTAGTTACAGTGTACCCTAACCTTTAGTTACAGAGTACCCTAACCTTTAGTTACAGAGAGTACCCTAACCCTAACCTTTAGTTACAGAGAGTACCCTAACCCTAACCTTTAGTTACAGAGTGTACCCTAACCCTAACCTTTAGTTACAGAGTGTACCCTAACCCTAACCTTTAGTTACAGAGAGTACCCTAACCCTAACCTTTAGTTACAGAGTACCCTAACCTTTAGTTACAGAGTGTACCCTAACCCTAACCGTTAGTTACAGAGAGTACCCTAACCTTTAGTTACAGAGTACCCTAACCTTTAGTTACAGAGTGTATCCTAACCCTAACCTTTAGTTACAGAGAGTACCCTAACCTTAACCTTTAGTTACAGTGTACCCTAACCTTTAGTCACAGAGTACCCTAACCCTAACCTTTAGTTACAGTGTACCCTAACCTTTAGTTACAGAGAGTACCCTAACCCTAACCTTTAGTTACAGTGTACCCTAACCCTAACCTTTAGTTACAGTGTACCCTAACCCTAACCTTTAGTTACAGAGTGTACCCTAACCCTAACCTTTAGTTACAGTGTACCCTAACCCTAACCTTTAGTTACAGAGTACCCTAACCCTAACCTTTAGTTACAGTGTACCCTAACCTTTAGTTACAGTGTACCCTAACCCTAACCTTTAGTCACAGAGTACCCTAACCCTAACCTTTAGTTACAGTGTACCCTAACCTTAACCTTTAGTTACAGAGAGTACCTTAACCTTTAGTTACAGTGTACCCTAACCTTTAGTTACAGAGAGTACCTTAACCTTTAGTTACAGTGTACCCTAACCCTAACCTTTAGTTACAGTGTACCCTAACCTTTAGTTACAGAGTGTACCCTAACCTTTAGTTACAGAGTGTACCCTAACCTTTAGTTACAGTGTACCCTAACCTTTAGTTACAGTGTACCCTAACCTTTAGTTACAGAGAGTACCTTAACCTTTAGTTACAGTGTACCCTAACCCTAACCTTTAGTTACAGTGTACCCTAACCTTTAGTTACAGTGTACCCTAACCCTAACCTTTAGTTATAGTGTACCCTAACCTTTAGTTACAGTGTACCCTAACCTTAACCTTTAGTTACAGAGAGTACCCTAACCCTAACCTTTAGTTACAGAGAGTACCCTAACCTTAACCTTTAGTTACAGTGTACCCTAACCCTAACCTTTAGTTACAGAGAGTACCCTAACCCTAACCTTTAGTTACAGTGTACCTTAACCTTTAGTTACAGTGTACCCTAACCCTAACCTTTAGTTACAGAGAGTACCCTAGTCAAGGGGGATGAATACTTTTGCAAGGCACTGTAGCTAACCAGATAGTTGAACAGGCAAATATAACCTAAAACTAATATTATGGAAGATAGATGTAAATTCTTCGTGGGTAGCTAGCTAACAATTCTTAGTTGCTATCTGGCTAGCTAACAGTACTAGTAGTAATTATTAACGTATCAAGATAACACATTGTAGTCAGGCAATATATGAGATGTGAAAAGGCAACATTTCATTCCGAAGTCGGGAGTATATTTTCTCTCGCTTCAGCTCAAATAATGGTAGCTTTTGATTTGATTTCAAGAAATGTTGCATCATTTTTTTTACGTGGTTGCGTCATATTTCTTTGCATACTGTCCGTTGAAACTTGCATCGATGCATGCGTGAAATTATGTACAAACAGAGTACGCATTCGAGAAGTGCTCTCCGTGGTCCGTTTCACATACTTTGATTTGGACTCATACTCTGACCCTCCCGTGCTCCAATTTTGCGTGCTCGGAGCACGGTAGAATGCATTTTGAGAAACACCCTCTGTGTATTATGACGGTGTATCAGTATGGTAGACAGGGTTTCTCTGTGTATTATGACGGTGTATCAGTATGGTAGACAGGGTTTCTCTGTGTATTATGACGGTGTATCAGGATGGTAGACAGGATGATCCCATCCCCATCTCTAAGGGTTAAAACTAACCCCCATCTCTAAGGGTTAACCCTAACCCCCATCTCTAAGGGTTAACCCTAACCCCAATCTCTAAAGGTTAACCCTAACCCCCATCTCTAAAGGTTAACCCTAACCCCCATCTCTAAGGGTTAACCCTAACCCCCATCTCTAAGGGTTAACCCTAACCCCCATCTCTAAGGGTTAACCCTAACCCCCATCTCTAAGGGTTAACCCTAACCCCCATCTCTAAGGGTTAACCCCCATCTCTAAAGGTTAACCCTAACCCCCATCTCTAAGGGTTAACCCTAACCCCCATCTCTAAGGGTTAACCCTAACCCCCATCTCTAAGGGTTAACCCTAACCCCCATCTCTAAGGGTTAACCCTAACCCCCATCTCTAAGGGTTAACCCTAACCCCCATCTCTAAAGGTTAACCCTAACCCCCATCTCTAAGGGTTAACCCTAACCCCCATCTCTAAGGGTTAACCCTAACCCCCATCTCTGGTAACCCTAACCCCCATCTCTAAGGGTTAACCCTAACCCCCATCTCTAAGGGTTAACCCTAACCCCCATCTCTAAGGGTTAACCCTAACCCCCATCTCTAAGGGTTAACCCTAACCCCCATCTCTAAGGGTTAACCCTAACCCCCATCTCTAAGGGTTAACCCTAACCCCCATCTCTAAAGGTTAACCCTAACCCCCCATCTCTAAGGGTTAACCCTAACCCCCATCTCTAAGGGTTAACCCTAACCCCCATCTCTAAGGGTTAACCCTAACCCCCATCTCTAAGGGTTAACCCTAACCCCCATCTCTAAAGGTTAACCCTAACCCCCATCTCTAAGGGTTAACCCTAACCCCCATCTCTAAGGGTTAACCCTAACCCCCATCTCTAAGGGTTAACCCTAACCCCCATCTCTAAGGGTTAACCCTAACCCCCATCTCTAAGGGTTAACCCTAACCCCCATGTCTAAGGGTTAACCCTAACCCCCATGTCTAAGGGTTAACCCTAACCCCCATCTCTAAGGGTTAACCCTAACCCCCATCTCTAAGGGTTAACCCTAACCCCCATCTCTAAGGGTTAACCCTAACCCCCATCTCTAAGGGTTAACCCTAACCCCCATCTCTAAGGGTTAACCCTAACCCCCATCTCTAAAGGTTAACCCTAACCCCCATCTCTAAGGGTTAACCCTAACCCCCATCTCTAAGGGTTAACCCTAACCCCCATCTCTAAGGGTTAACCCTAACCCCCATCTCTAAGGGTTAACCCTAACCCCCATCTCTAAAGGTTAACCCTAACCCCCATCTCTAAGGGTTAACCCTAACCCCCATCTCTAAGGGCTAACCCTAACCCCCATCTCTAAAGGTTAACCCTAACCCCCATCTCTAAGGGTTAACCCTAACCCCCATCTCTAAGGGGTAACCCTAACCCCCATCTCTAAGGGTTAACCCTAACCCCCATCTCTAAGGGTTAACCCTAACCCCCATCTCTAAGGGTTAACCCTAACCCCCATCTCTAAGGGTTAACCCTAACCCCCATCTCTAAGGGTTAACCCTAACTCTACCACTAACCTTGACCCTGTCTGTATGTAAGGCCCAGATGCCTAATAAGACCATCCTGATCCCCATGTCCAAGTCCACGGCGCCACGCTTCAGGAACAGTGTGGAGGGTCTCAACCAGGAGATTGAACGCATCATCATCCGTGACACAACACAACTACGAGATGAGGTTATTATTGTGAGTCCTTGTTCTTGTTAACTCAGACACACACACACACACACACACACACACACACACACACACACATACACACACCCACACACACACACACACCCACACACACACTCACACACACACACACACATATGAAGTGTTATTATTTATGTGTGCTTTGGGTTCAGCCCCAAGACGTCCCAGACGGGCACCGCGCCCCCCCGCCCATCCCCGCCCAGCGCAGCAGCTCCACACGCAGCATCGACACACAGACCCCCTCAGGGGGGGGCCTCTGTGGCGGTAAACATAGCAACAGCAGCAGCCGGCCCGACTCCATCTCTCCCTCCTACCTCACCATCCTCAACGATATGGGAGGAGGCAGCCCCTACCCCGCAGAGGAGAAAGGTACGCCCGACTCCATCTCTCCCTCCTACCTCACCATCCTCAGCGATGTGGGAGGAGGCAGCCCCTACCCCGCAGAGGAGAAAGGTACACACATATCCATAGCTTTGTCCCCCTCCGTCCCTGAATATTGGGACTAACCTGCTCCCTGTCTGTCTGTCTGTCTGTCCTCAGAACTGGGTCCCTGCTCTCCTCTCCCGAAGTACGCAGCGTCTCCGAAGCCCAACAACAGCTACATGTTCAAGAGGGAGCCGCCGGAGGGCTGTGAGAAGGTCAAGGTCTTTGAGGAGTCACTGTGAGTACAGCCTAACCCTTGACCTCTGACCCCTAACCCTAACCCCTAACCCTAACCCTAACCCTTGACCTCTGACCCCTAACCCTAACCCGTGACCCTAACCGTCCTGAGGGCTGTGAGAGTACCTCCCGAGTGGCGCAGTGGTCTAAGGCAGTGCCAGCTGGACAGTATAAGGAAAATGACAATTGGCTCAGAACCGGGCAGCACGGCTGGCCCTTAAATGTACACAGAGAGCTAACATTAATAATATGCATGTCAATCTCTCATGGCTCAAAGTAGAGGAGAGATTCTTCATCACTACTTGTATTTGTAAGAAGTGTTGACAAGCTGAATGCACCGAGCTGTCTGTTTAAACTACTAGCACACAGCTAATAAATACAAATACAAAAATACAATACATTGTCTTACATCAGATATCGCGTTGATTCAACCTGCATTGATCTGTCTCGTATCTCGCAAAGAGTCATGGGATAGATCAAAGTGTGTACAAAAATATGACCTAGGTGACATGGCCTAATGAACCCCATTTGATCCTCAAAACAGGCTGAATTAATAAAACAAGAAATCTGTAAATAATATTTTAGTTTTTTGTTGTTGAAGAAGTCACCAAAATATATGGAGTTTCGCAGAGCAACTATCTTAATTTACTTCCAAAAAAGGTCTAAATAATAATGTACAAGCAACTGAAATAAAGGCCTTTTCGGCAACTTCACGGTCAATAAATGTAGTTATTTTCTGCTACTAGTCGGGATGCTGAGGCTGCTGCAGCGCACCCTGAAAAATCATTCTAAATATATATCTTATTTTTTCACAAAAGTAGTGCACTGGGCCTTTACTCGTCCTGTATCAGCGCCCTGATATAGCCGTCTGTAGTGTGGGCTGAAGAATGGCAGCGCCCTGATATAGCCGTCTGTAGTGTGGGTTACTCGTCCTGTATCAGCCCCCTGATATAGCCGTCTGTAGTGTGGGTTACTCGTCCTGTATCAGCGCCCTGATATAGCCGTCTGTAGTGTGGGTTACTCGTCCTGTATCAGCGGCCTGATATAGCCGTCTGTAGTGTGGGTTACTCGTCCTGTATCAGCGCCCTGATATAGCCGTCTGTAGTGTGGGCTACTCGTCCTGTATCAGCGCCCTGATATAGCCGTCTGTAGTGTGGGTTACTCGTCCTGTATCAGCGCCCTGATATAGCCGTCTGTAGTGTGGGCTGAAGAATGGCAGCGCCCTGATATAGCCGTCTGTAGTGTGGGCTACTCGTCCTGTATCAGCGCCCTGATATAGCCGTCTGTAGTGTGGGCTACTCGTCCTGTATCAGCGCCCTGATATAGCCGTCTGTAGTGTGGGTTACTCGTCCTGTATCAGCGCCCTGATATAGCCGTCTGTAGTGTGGGTTACTCGTCCTGTATCAGCGCCCTGATATAGCCGTCTGTAGTGTGGGTTACTCGTCCTGTATCAGCGCCCTGATATAGCCGTCTGTAGTGTGGGTTACTCGTCCTGTATCAGCGCCCTGATATAGCCGTCTGTAGTGTGGGTTACTCGTCCTGTATCAGCGCCCTGATATAGCCGTCTGTAGTGTGGGTTACTCGTCCTGTATCAGCGCCCTGATATAGCCGTCTGTAGTGTGGGGTTACTCGTCCTGTATCAGCGCCCTGATATAGCCGTCTGTAGTGTGGGCTACTCGTCCTGTATCAGCGCCCTGATATAGCCGTCTGTAGTGTGGGCTGAAGAATGGCAGCGCCCTGATATAGCCGTCTGTAGTGTGGGCTACTCGTCCTGTATCAGCGCCCTGATATAGCCGTCTGTAGTGTGGGTTACTCGTCCTGTATCAGCGCCCTGATATAGCCGTCTGTAGTGTGGGTTACTCGTCCTGTATCAGCGCCCTGATATAGCCGTCTGTAGTGTGGGTTACTCGTCCTGTATCAGCGCCCTGATATAGCCGTCTGTAGTGTGGGCTACTCGTCCTGTATCAGCGCCCTGATATAGCCGTCTGTAGTGTGGGCTGAAGAATGGCAGCGCCCTGATATAGCCGTCTGTAGTGTGGGCTGAAGAATGGCAGCGCCCTGATATAGCCGTCTGTAGTGTGGGCTGAAGAATGGCAGCGCCCTGATATAGCCGTCTGTAGTGTGGGTTACTCGTCCTGTATCAGCGCCCTGATATAGCCGTCTGTAGTGTGGGTTACTCGTCCTGTATCAGCGCCCTGATATAGCCGTCTGTAGTGTGGGTTACTCGTCCTGTATCAGCGCCCTGATATAGCCGTCTGTAGTGTGGGTTACTCGTCCTGTATCAGCGCCCTGATATAGCCGTCTGTAGTGTGGGTTACTCGTCCTGTATCAGCGCCCTGATATAGCCGTCTGTAGTGTGGGTTACTCGTCCTGTATCAGCGCCCTGATATAGCCGTCTGTAGTGTGGGTTACTCGTCCTGTATCAGCGCCCTGATATAGCCGTCTGTAGTGTGGGTTACTCGTCCTGTATCAGCGCCCTGATATAGCCGTCTGTAGTGTGGGCTACTCGTCCTGTATCAGCGCCCTGATATAGCCGTCTGTAGTGTGGGTTACTCGTCCTGTATCAGCGCCCTGATATAGCCGTCTGTAGTGTGGGCTGAAGAATGGCAGCGCCCTGATATAGCCGTCTGTAGTGTGGGTTACTCGTCCTGTATCAGCGCCCTGATATAGCCGTCTGTAGTGTGGGTTACTCGTCCTGTATCAGCGCCCTGATATAGCCGTCTGTAGTGTGGGCTAAAGAATGGCAGCGCCCTGATATAGCCGTCTGTAGTGTGGGTTACTCGTCCTGTATCAGCGCCCTGATATAGCCGTCTGTAGTGTGGGTTACTCGTCCTGTATCAGCGCCCTGATATAGCCATCTGTAGTGTGGGTTACTCGTCCTGTATCAGCGGCCTGATATAGCCGTCTGTAGTGTGGGCTACTCGTCCTGTATCAGCGCCCTGATATAGCCGTCTGTAGTGTGGGTTACTCGTCCTGTATCAGCGCCCTGATATAGCCGTCTGTAGTGTGGGTTACTCGTCCTGTATCAGCGCCCTGATATAGCCGTCTGTAGTGTGGGCTGAAGAATGGCAGCGCCCTGATATAGCCGTCTGTAGTGTGGGCTGAAGAATGGCAGCGCCCTGATATAGCCGTCTGTAGTGTGGGCTAAAGAATGGCAGCGCCCTGATATAGCCGTCTGTAGTGTGGGCTAAAGAATGGCAGCGCCCTGATATAGCCGTCTGTAGTGTGGGCTGAAGAATGGCAGCGCCCTGATATAGCCGTCTGTAGTGTGGGCTGAAGAATGGCAGCGCCCTGATATAGCCGTCTGTAGTGTGGGCTGAAGAATGGCAGCGCCCTGATATAGCCGTCTGTAGTGTGGGCTACTCGTCCTGTATCAGCGCCCTGATATAGCCGTCTGTAGTGTGGGCTAAAGAATGGCAGCGCCCTGATATAGCCGTCTGTAGTGTGGGCTAAAGAATGGCAGCGCCCTGATATAGCCGTCTGTAGTGTGGGCTACTCGTCCTGTATCAGCGCCCTGATATAGCCGTCTGTAGTGTGGGTTACTCGTCCTGTATCAGCCCCCTGATATAGCCGTCTGTAGTGTGGGTTACTCGTCCTGTATCAGCGCCCTGATATAGCCGTCTGTAGTGTGGGTTACTCGTCCTGTATCAGCGGCCTGATATAGCCGTCTGTAGTGTGGGTTACTCGTCCTGTATCAGCGCCCTGATATAGCCGTCTGTAGTGTGGGCTACTCGTCCTGTATCAGCGCCCTGATATAGCCGTCTGTAGTGTGGGTTACTCGTCCTGTATCAGCGCCCTGATATAGCCGTCTGTAGTGTGGGTTACTCGTCCTGTATCAGCGCCCTGATATAGCCGTCTGTAGTGTGGGCTGAAGAATGGCAGCGCCCTGATATAGCCGTCTGTAGTGTGGGCTACTCGTCCTGTATCAGCGCCCTGATATAGCCGTCTGTAGTGTGGGTTTACTCGTCCTGTATCAGCCCCCTGATATAGCCGTCTGTAGTGTGGGTTACTCGTCCTGTATCAGCGCCCTGATATAGCCGTCTGTAGTGTGGGTTACTCGTCCTGTATCAGCGCCCTGATATAGCCGTCTGTAGTGTGGGTTACTCGTCCTGTATCAGCGCCCTGATATAGCCGTCTGTAGTGTGGGTTACTCGTCCTGTATCAGCGCCCTGATATAGCCGTCTGTAGTGTGGGTTACTCGTCCTGTATCAGCGCCCTGATATAGCCGTCTGTAGTGTGGGTTACTCGTCCTGTATCAGCGGCCTGATATAGCCGTCTGTAGTGTGGGCTGAAGAATGGCAGCGCCCTGATATAGCCGTCTGTAGTGTGGGCTACTCGTCCTGTATCAGCGCCCTGATATAGCCGTCTGTAGTGTGGGTTACTCGTCCTGTATCAGCGCCCTGATATAGCCGTCTGTAGTGTGGGTTACTCGTCCTGTATCAGCGCCCTGATATAGCCGTCTGTAGTGTGGGCTACTCGTCCTGTATCAGCGCCCTGATATAGCCGTCTGTAGTGTGGGCTGAAGAATGGCAGCGCCCTGATATAGCCGTCTGTAGTGTGGGCTACTCGTCCTGTATCAGCGCCCTGATATAGCCGTCTGTAGTGTGGGTTACTCGTCCTGTATCAGCGCCCTGATATAGCCGTCTGTAGTGTGGGTTACTCGTCCTGTATCAGCGGCCTGATATAGCCGTCTGTAGTGTGGGCTACTCGTCCTGTATCAGCGCCCTGATATAGCCGTCTGTAGTGTGGGTTACTCGTCCTGTATCAGCGCCCTGATATAGCCGTCTGTAGTGTGGGTTACTCGTCCTGTATCAGCGCCCTGATATAGCCGTCTGTAGTGTGGGCTGAAGAATGGCAGCGCCCTGATATAGCCGTCTGTAGTGTGGGCTGAAGAATGGCAGCGCCCTGATATAGCCGTCTGTAGTGTGGGCTAAAGAATGGCAGCGCCCTGATATAGCCGTCTGTAGTGTGGGCTGAAGAATGGCAGCGCCCTGATATAGCCGTCTGTAGTGTGGGCTAAAGAATGGCAGCGCCCTGATATAGCCGTCTGTAGTGTGGGCTACTCGTCCTGTATCAGCGCCCTGATATAGCCGTCTGTAGTGTGGGTTACTCGTCCTGTATCAGCGCCCTGATATAGCCGTCTGTAGTGTGGGTTACTCGTCCTGTATCAGCGCCCTGATATAGCCGTCTGTAGTGTGGGCTGAAGAATGGCAGCGCCCTGATATAGCCGTCTGTAGTGTGGGCTACTCGTCCTGTATCAGCGCCCTGATATAGCCGTCTGTAGTGTGGGTTACTCGTCCTGTATCAGCCCCCTGATATAGCCGTCTGTAGTGTGGGTTACTCGTCCTGTATCAGCGCCCTGATATAGCCGTCTGTAGTGTGGGTTACTCGTCCTGTATCAGCGCCCTGATATAGCCGTCTGTAGTGTGGGTTACTCGTCCTGTATCAGCGCCCTGATATAGCCGTCTGTAGTGTGGGCTACTCGTCCTGTATCAGCGCCCTGATATAGCCGTCTGTAGTGTGGGCTGAAGAATGGCAGCGCCCTGATATAGCCGTCTGTAGTGTGGGCTACTCGTCCTGTATCAGCGCCCTGATATAGCCGTCTGTAGTGTGGGTTACTCGTCCTGTATCAGCGCCCTGATATAGCCGTCTGTAGTGTGGGTTACTCGTCCTGTATCAGCGGCCTGATATAGCCGTCTGTAGTGTGGGTTACTCGTCCTGTATCAGCGCCCTGATATAGCCGTCTGTAGTGTGGGTTACTCGTCCTGTATCAGCGCCCTGATATAGCCGTCTGTAGTGTGGGCTGAAGAATGGCAGCGCCCTGATATAGCCGTCTGTAGTGTGGGCTGAAGAATGGCAGCGCCCTGATATAGCCGTCTGTAGTGTGGGCTAAAGAATGGCAGCGCCCTGATATAGCCGTCTGTAGTGTGGGCTGAAGAATGGCAGCACCCTGATATAGCCGTCTGTAGTGTGGGCTGAAGAATGGCAGCGCCCTGATATAGCCGTCTGTAGTGTGGGCTGAAGAATGGCAGCGCCCTGATATAGCCGTCTGTAGTGTGGGCTGAAGAATGGCAGCGCCCCCACCCTCACCCAAAACATCTTCCCACGGCTATGCTTGTAGACCACTGTCTGTCATTTGTCTCAATATACAGGACCAGTCAAAAGTTTGGACACACCTACTCATTCATGGGTTTTCCTTTATTTTTTTATTTTTTTCTACATTGTAGAATAATAGTGAAGACATCAAAACTATGAAATAACACTTATGGAATCATGTAGTAACCAAAAAAGTGTTAAACAAATCAGAATATATTTTATATTTTATATTCTTCATAGTAGCCACCCTTTGCCTTGATGACAGCTTTGCACACTCTTGGCATTCTCTCAACCAGCTTTGGCATTCTCTCAACACTTTTTTGATACTTTTTAATACTACGAAGGTTGTAACGATTTACTTATTAGTCTTAAGATGCTTTTGGGAAACCGGGCCCAGCTACTTCCCTACCTACCGGGCCCAGCTACCTCCCTACCTACCGGGCCCAGCTACCTCCCTACCTACCGGGCCCAGCTACCTCCCTACCTACCGGGCCCAGCTACTTCCCTACCCTACCGGGCCCAGCTACCTCCCTACCTACCGGGCCCAGCTACCTCCCTACCTACCGGGCCCAGCTACCTCCCTACCTACCGGGCCCAGCTACCTCCCTACCTACCGGGCCCAGCTACCTCCCTACCTACCGGGCCCAGCTACCTCCCTACCTACCGGGCCCAGCTACCTCCCTACCTACCGGGCCCAGCTACCTCCCTACCTACCGGGCCCAGCTACCTCCCTACCTACCGGGCCCAGCTACCTCCCTATCTACCGAGTGCTGCACGAACAACGCTGACTCAAACTATCTTTGGCTTCAAACAAACGCCAACTACTGTAGTAGCTTTATATATTATTAACATATTATTATTATAGTAGCTAACATCATTATGAGTTTTCATAAAGCAGCTGCTGCTGTGCTCTGCTGACCCAACGTTACAAAAGTAACAATAGCGATCGCGGAGAAATACGTTGATCTTCGGACTGATTTATGATAACAGTCCCTCTTAATTTTGGTGCCGTATGTCTACAACTTCAGGGTCATTTAATAAACAAGCGGTTTATGTAAAGTAGAGCTAGTTAGCTAGTTATTTCAGCTAGCTAGCTAACGTGACAAATAGCTGGTCAAGTCACAGGCGGCCGATGTGTTTGCAAATTTTTTCACAGGAGGTAGCTACCGTTTGGTTTTTATTTTCTCACAATTGCTTATTATAAAATCCCTGTCACAACATGTGTAATCATTTAGCTAGATATTCTGCCTATTTCATAGACATTTAATGAGAGCGCAGTGATCTTATAAGGAACTATATAAGCTCATACTAGCTTCCCGAGTGGCGCAGTGGTCTAAGGCACTGCATCGCAGTGCTAGCTGTGCCACTAGAGATCCTGGTTCGAATCCAGGCTCTGTCGTAGCCAGCCGCAACCGGGAGACCAATGGGGCGGCGCACAATTGGCCCAGCGTCGTCCAGGGTAGGGGAGGGAATGGCCGGCAGGGAGGTAGCTCAGTTGGTAGAGCATGGCGTTTGCAACGCCAGGGTTGTGGGTTCGATTCCCATGGGGTATGAAAAAAATAATAATAAAAGAATAATGGCTCTGGATAAGAGCGTCTGCTAAATGACGTAAACTATGTTTTCATTTTGGATGGTGGATGATCTGGAATATTCCACCTTGAATATGACTTCCACCAGAGAGGAAGAGGCGAAGCATGAGGTTTCACTCTGAATATGACTTCCACCAGATAGGAAGAGGCGAAGCATGAGGTTTCACTCTGAAGATGACTTCCACCAGAGAGGAAGAGGCGAAGCATGAGCTTTCACTCTCGCCAAAATCTGTCCAAAAATAAACCCAATGCGTTTCTATGGGCTTATTCTGGACGTAAACTTGTCGCCTGCCTTGCCGCCTTTTGGGACAACGACTCCCATCGTTAGGGCAATCTCGTCATTATATACAGATCTCTGGTTCCACGTCCTACAAGAGAGATGGTTAGTGTTAATCTGGGATCCTCGGGACGTCCCTACCCTAAACCCTAACCACAGAGTTTCTAAACCCAGAGGCACAACATCGTGAGACTTCCGGGAACACTTGCGGAACAGACCAAACAGACCAGGCCGGGGGTTTGGGGTTTGAGAAGTCAATGAGAGAAGTGAAAAATTCTTCCTTAGGTGTTAATTTTCTCGAAATCTAAAGGCACAACCTGGATTTGAGCCAATGTCTTAAGAAGGTGAATATGTTATTACTACAACCTCGTGAAAGTGACAAACTGACACGTTTTCATTTTAGTAAAAAACAACTTTATATCAAAGGAGTGCCTGCACATGCAAGACGACGTTAGACCCAATTATGTGTTTCTACGCATGTGCTTAGCTAGCCAACGTCGCCATGACTTCGTGATGGGGGATTTCTATTAGAGAAGTCGTTTCTGACTATCTTCGTACTGTACTGCAGGGGTTCCCAAACTGTTTTGGCCCACGACCCCATTTTGATATGGGAAAATTCTCGCGACCCCACCCCATATTTAAAAAATGATGTAATTAACAGCCATTGTTTACTTTTTGATGTGGGGCTATGGCAGTCAACAGAAAAACATTCTAACAGTATTTCTGATTGTTTTCTCAACTCACCATCACATACTGTTAATGTGGGGCTATGGCAGTCAACAGAAAAACATTCTAACAGTATTTAACATTCTAACATTAAAACTAGCGCGAGCCCACCATAGTAGAAGCTAACTCAGAACATTAAAACTAGCGCGAGCCCACCATAGTAGAAGCTAACTCAGAACATTAAAACTAGCGCGAGCCCACCATAATAGAAGCTAACTCAGAACATTAAAACTAGTGTGAGCCCACCATAGTAGAAGCTAACTCAGAACATTAAAACTAGCACGAGCCCACCATAGTAGAAGCTAACTCAGAACATTAAAACTAGCACGAGCCCACCATAGTAGAAGCTAACTCAGAACATTAAAACTAGCACGAGCCCACCATAGTAGAAGCTAACTCAGAACATTAAAACTAGCGCGAGCCCACCATAGTAGAAGCTAACTCAGAACATTAAAACTAGCATGAGCCCACCATAGTAGAAGCTAAGTCAGAACATTAAAACTAGCGCGAGCCCACCGTAGTAGAAGCTAACTCAGAACATTAAAACTAGCACGAGCCCACCATAGTAGAAGCTAACTCAGAACATTAAAACTAGCGCGAGCCCACCATAGTAGATGCTAGCTCAGAACATTAAAACTAGCCAAGTACAGCCTTTTGTGGCCAAACTGGTATTACTCCTCTTGTATAGGAAAAGGGCACTCTGCTAAGTAAATACCATAAATAATCTCTGTCATATTAGTTTTGAATGACAATGTGTGTGTTTGTGTGTGTTACAGTCCCAGAACCCTCCAGGAGATTCCTCCCTTCCTGTGTCCGGACCGGAACAAGGTGAACTTCATCCCTAAGAGTGGCTCAGCCTTCTGCCTGGTCAGCATCCTGAAGCCCCTGTTGCCCGCTCCGGAGCTCAGCTTCAGATCAGGGGTCGGCCTCCGCAGCCTGTCCCCTAGCTTGGTGCCTCTGGGTGGGGTTGGCCTGCGCAGTCTGTCCCCCTCCATGGTGCCTCTAGGTGGGGTGAGCCTCCGTAGCCTGTCCCCTTCCCTAGGGGTATCCTGGGGCACCAGCAACGTCCACCAGCAACCCTGCCTGCCCAGACACCTGGAGGAACCAGAGAGCTAGAGCTCCACGCTGCCGCCCTGGTGGACAGACTGCGGAATAACATCACAGTCAGATAAACATAATGAACATAATACCCTGCCACTCAAGACGCCTTCGACATGCTAACTCAACTGGTCATAACTGTCCCCTGGTTCTACATGGTCATTCTAACTCCGCCCCCTGGTCCCAATGTTCCACTGATCCTATGTACAGGAAATACTTTTATTTTCATCGCATTAAACCATGAAACCTCTCCACATTTTTAAATCATTATTATTTATCTTGAAATAAGATGTCTTCCAGTGTGAAGCTGTGTGGTTTCCATGGTGATCTGGGCTGTGTGGTTTCCATCGGGATCCAGGCTGTGTGGTTTCCATGGTGATCTGGGCTCAGAGATATCGTAGCAAAACTAAGATGGGGGGATTAAAGAAAAACAATAATGTGCCTGAAGACCTGGTTCTGCTTTAGACCTGGTTAGGGTTAGGGTTAGGGTTAGGACAGACCTGGCTCATGGTGTCTGTCCAGTGTTCTGCTTTAGACCTGGCTCATGGTGTCTGTCCAGTGTTCTGCTTTAGACCTGGCTCATGGTGTCTGTCCAGTGTTCTGCTTTAGACCTGGCTCATGGTGTCTGTCCAGTGTTCTGCTTTAGACCTGGCTCATGGTGTCTGTCCAGTGTTCTGCTTTAGACCTGGCTCATGGTGTCTGTCCAGTGTTCTGTTTTGTCTGCTTCCCCCCTCTCTCCCACCCTCCCTTCCTTCCTCCATCCCTCCCCTTCCTCTGTCTTTATCTGTGATTGAAATGCACTGTATACAAAATCGTGTACTGCACACAGAAAAAATGACTTTTTCGTGTGCCTGTGACAAATTGTCTATTTCAAAATAATGTGTGATACTGGGTTGGGATGGGACAGCAGCCCCGTGAGTGTTGCTCAGCTTCAGCTTGTGTTGGTGTCGTGGTGTCAGTCAGTGGACTTGGGGCATCTCTGGCCTCTTTTTTCTAAAGGACTCCAGGAGGTGAGAAAGAGACTGAAGAAGCCTTCTGTCCTGCTCTGGTCTCTACTGTGGTATATGTGCAACTTTACTGTGCCTGCCATGGGGAAGTGTCTGAAATGGATCGGATCTGGAGATAATATTGAGGCACTGTGTTTGTATTTTAGGCTGACAAGGAGAACTGGATTATAATAGTAATAATATAACATTATTATTATATTATGAACTGGATTATAATAGTAATAATATAACATTATTATTATATTATTAACTGGATTATAATAGTAATAATATAACATTATTATTATATTATTAACTGGATTATAATAGTAATAATATAACATTATTATTATATTATTAACTGGATTATAATAGTAATAATATAACAGTATTATTATATTATTAACTGGATTATAATAGTAATAATATAACATTATTATTATATTACAGTATTATATTTAAATCACAAACATACAAGATAAGTCCCTTTCTCCATCTCACTGTTAGAGGTAATTTAAGATTGGTTAGGGGTCATTTAAGGTTGGTTAGGGGTCATTTAAGGTTGGTTAGGGGTAATTTAAGGTTGGTTAGGGGGTTAGGGGTCATTTAAGGTTGGTTAGGGGTAATTTAAGGTTGGTTAGGGGTAATTTAAGGTTGGTTAGGGGTAATTTAAGGATGGTTAGGGGTTAGGGTAATTTAAGGTTGGTTAGGGGTAATTTAAGGTTGGTTAGGGGGTTAGGGTAATTTACTTAGGGTTAGGTTACTCAGATAGAATTAGGGCTCTATTCAATCTGTATCGCTGAAGCGTTACAGATTGTGCAATAGAAATGTAAAGGTAATTTCCGATTGAGCCGACATCTACCGTGAATGCAGTCTCCACTAACACAGGAACATTGCCTTTACATTTCTATCAGGCGGTAACGCTGAACTTCAGTGATACAGATTGAATAGAGCCCTTAGGGTCAGGAGGAGTTTTGGGTGGTTATAACTTCAGCTCAGAATTGATCCTGGTCCGAGTTAGGTTCAGGGCTCTAAACATTCGACATGTACAGACTTGTAAACTACTAGGACTGTCGACTCAACAGAGAAATGAAGAGCTCTGCTGTCAGAGTAGATTTTAATATTGGAGATGATATTTGATCATGTTTTACAACCTGTAGCAGTAGAGATGTGGTTTCCTTTTAAAGGTCAACTTTGGGCACGAAAAACGGTCCAACTGTGCCTTTGGTGGTTCATCAGTGTCATTCTGGTCAGGTGCGCACACGACCAACGTAGTTAGTTTGTTAGCTAAGCTAGCCACTGTAGCTAGTTTGTTAGCTACGCTAGCCACTGTAGCTAGTTCGTTAGCTAAGTTAGCCACTGTAGCTAGTTTGTTAGCTAAGCTAGCCACTGTAGCTAGTTTGTTAGCTAAGCTAGCCACTGTAGCTAGTTTGTTAGCTAAGCTAGCCACTGTAGCTAGTTGTTAGCTAAGCTAGCCACTGTAGCTAGTTTGTTAGCTAAGCTAGCCACTGTAGCTAGTTCGTTAGCTAAGCTAGCCACTGTAGCTAGTTCGTTAGCTAAGCTAGCCACTGTAGCTAGTTCGTTAGCTAAGCTAGCCACTGTAGCTAGTTCGTTAGCTAAGCTAGCCACTGTAGCTAGTTCGTTAGCTAAGCTAGCCACTGTAGCTAGTTCGTTAGCTAAGCTAGCCACTGTAGCTAGTTCGTTAGCTAAGCTAGCCTCTGTAGCTAGCCAGTAACTCCTCCAGTATGTGTTGACGTCATTTCACAGGATGTGTTTTTGGACGGAAGCTGTAGAGCACTTCTGTAGCCAAATATGTTATTTATCCTTAATTTTTTTTAAGCAATAAATGACCTGGTATGATGGTGCATTGATCAGTTATACCGTTTAAATACATTTTTGCGCTTTTGCCCAAAGTCGACCTTTAAATGTATTGGCAGAGATGTCCACCAGGGTAGACTGGATGGGATGGAAGGTGAGTTGGTCATGAAATACTCAACTTGATACTTTTAAAGAAACACACAAATGGAAAAGCATCTCAAATAACAGTTTAATAAAGTTCCTTCAACTGTTGATAACAGCCCTGCTTCATCCTATGACGTTACATACATCCCCGTTTCATCCTATGACGTTACATACATCCCCATTTCATCCTATGACATTACATACATCCCCATTTCATCCTATGACATTACATACATCCCCATTTCATCCTATGACATTACATACATCCCCATTTCATCCTATGACATTACATACATCCCCGTTTCATCCTATGACGTTACATACATCCCCATTTCATCCTATGACGTTACATACATCCCCGTTTCATCCTATGACATTACATACATCCCCATTTCATCCTATGACATTACATACATCCCCGTTTCATCCTATGACATTACATACATCCCCATTTCATCCTATGACGTTACATACATCCCTGTTTCATCCTACGACGTTACATACATCCCTGTTTCATCCTATGACGTTACATACATCCTTTAAGTGAAATGAAAGGCATAGTTGAATATAATAAAGCATTTGTGATTGATATACATTCTTGTCTGTATGTACAGTGCATTCGGAAAGTATTCAGACCCCTTCACTTTTCCCACATTCTGTTACGTTGCAGCCTTATTCTAAAATGGATTAAATTCATTTTTTCCCTCATCAATCTACACACAATACCCCATAATGACAAAGCGTAAGCAGGTTTTTAGAAATGTTTGCACATTTATAAAAAATTTACATAAGTATTCAGACCCTTTGCTATGAGACTCGAAATTGAGCTCAGGTGCATCCTGTTTCCATTGATCATCCTTAAGATGTTTCTACAACTTGATTGGAGTCCACCTGTGGTAAATTCAATTGATTGGACATGATTTGGAAAGGCACACACCTGTCTATATAAGGTCCCATAGTTGACAGTGCAGGTCAGAGCAAAAACCAAACCATGAGGTCGAAGGAATTGTCCGATAGAGCTCCGAGACAGGATTGTGTCGAGGCACAGATCTGGGGAAGGGTACCAAAACATTTCTGCAGCATTGAAGGTGCCCAAGAATGTGATATTTCCAGGTTATTTTTTAATTATACATTTAAAAACATTTTTAAAAACCTGTTTTTGCTTTGTCATTATGGGGTACTGTGTGTAGATTGATGAGGGGGGGGGGGAAACTATTTAATCCATTTTAGAATAAGGCTGTAACGTAACAGAATGTGGAAAAAGTGAAGGGGTCTGAATACTTTCCGAATACAGTGTACAGTAAGAAAACCTGCAGCATGAGACTACCGACTGCACAATATTCACTTTCTTCTCATGAAAAGATGTATTCCCAACAGAGTTATCAATCAACTGGGATAGTGATGATCAGGCTTCTGTTTTAGCTCTTGGTGATTCAGAAGAAGAAGAAGAATATATCCAATAATCCAAGATATTCCAGAGAAGTGGAAAAGCTTCTGGAGTTCCTGTAGCACCTAACCAGCATGCTCCAGTGAGCAGGAAACGCTGTTTCCTAGTTGACCTATGGGACTATAGTAAGGATGTTCGTAATCAATCTGCGAAGGGGCGTTAGTAATTAACGGAGTTTTGCAATCATTGGTGATAGGAGACGATATTTCCAGGATATGTTTGTAATTACTACATTTAAAATTTAGCATTTAATTTGTTAACCCAGCGTTTTTAGTTTGGGTCCGTGTGTTATGGGGTATGTTTCGGGTTGATGCCCCCCGCGTCGGGGTGCGGGGGGGGGGTGTGTGTGCTAAAGCTGTTAAAATTAAACATTTAATGTGGAACTAATAAGGGTCTGACAGTTTCCGAATACACTGTAAGTAGAAAAATTTTTGCATAGCATGGCCGGAACGAATCCACATTGCACCCTTTCTTCTCATGAAAAGATGTAATCCCAACAGAGTTATCAATCCACACTGGGTGTCGATCAGGCTTCTGTTGAGCACTGGTGATCAGAAGAGAAGATAGGAACAAGAACCAACATGGTCACCGAAAGTGAAAAGCTCTGGAGCCGTAGCACCTAACCAGCAGCTCCAGTGAGGCGAGAAACGCTTCCTAGTGACATGGACTATAGTACCGTAACAGTACAGTGATCAATCAGATCCGGAAGGGCGCAGATGATTAACAGGCAGGTGTTAATGCCAATCTTATAGCGGAACAGAACCAGATGCAGCAGTTTGCATGATTAGACCATCAGCAATAATATCTTAGACATAATCTCTGTTAACCCACAGCCGCTTGATTTAGTTCTGGGTCCGTGTGTGTTACAAATTGGGAGTTCCGGTAGCCGCCCCCCTAACCCATCTGTCATCTTCACCAACCGCCTTGGTCCAAATAATCAGTGATGGGGGTGTAGTGATGACCTAAAGCCAATGATAACCTACTGTAGAAGTTATCTGTCCCTTGCTTGGCATAGTTCTACATCGCTCCAGTGTTGATACTTCCTTTAGAACCAAAAACTGATATGATAAATCATTATTCTAGAGGAATACATTTTTCCAGCGTAGTTCTAAACAAAATAGATCCAGTATCTGCAGATCTTCAGCACCGTAGTAGTTGTCTGAAAATAGATCCAGTATCTGCAGATCTTCAGCACCGTAGTAGTTGTCTGAAAATAGAGTCTTGGAACTAGAGATCCACGGTGAGTCTTTAGTTAAGCAATAAGGCCTGAGGGGGAATGGAAACGGCCAATATACCCTGCCTAAGGGGGAATGGAAACGGCCAATATACCCTGCCTAAGGGGGAATGGAAACGGCCAATATACCTGCCTGAGGGGGAATGGAAACGGCCAATATACCCTGCCTAAGGGGGAATGGAAACGGCCAATATACCCTGCCTAAGGGGGAATGGAAACGGCCAATATACCCTGCCTAAGGGGGAATGGAAACGGCCATATACCCTGCCTAAGGGGGAATGGAAACGGCCAATATACCCTGCCTAAGGGGGAATGGAAACGGCCAATATACCCTGCCTAAGGGGGAATGGAAACGGCCAATATACCCTGCCTAAGGGGGAATGAAACGGCCAATATACCCTGCCTAAGGGGGAATGGAAACGGCCAATATACCCTGCCTAAGGGGGAATGGAAACGGCCAATATACCCTGCCTAAGGGGGAATGGAAACGGCCAATATACCCTGCCTAAGGGGGAATGGAAACGGCCAATATACCCTGCCTAAGGGGGAATGGAAACGGCCAATATACCCTGGCCATAAGGGGGAATGGAAACGGCCAATATACCCTGCCTAAGGGGGAATGGAAACGGCCAATATACCCTGCCTAAGGGGGGGAATGGAAACGGCCAATATACCCTGCCTGAGGGGGAATGGAAACGGCCACTATACCCTGCCTAAAGGGGAATGGTAAACGGCCAATATACCCCTGCCTGAGGGGGAAATGGAAACGGCCAATATACCCCTGCCTAAGGGGGAATGGAAACGGCCAATATACCCTGCCTAGGGGGGGAATGGAAACGGCCAATATACCCTGCCTAAGGGGGAATGGAAACGGCCAATATACCCTGCCTAAGGGGGAATGGAAACGGCCAATATACCCTGCCTGAGGGGGAATGGAAACGGCCAATATACCCTGCCTGAGGGGGAATGGAAACGGCCAATATACCCTGCCTAAGGGGGAATGGAAACGGCCAATATACCCTGCCTAAGGGGGAATGGAAACGGCCAATATACCCTGCCTAAGGGGGAATGGAAACGGCCAATATACCCTGCCTAAAGGGGGAATGGAAACGGCCAATATACCCTGCCTAAGGGGGAATGGAAACGGCCAATATACCCTGCCTAAGGGGGAATGGAAACGGCCAATATACCCTGCCTGAGGGGGAATGGAAACGGCCAATATACCCTGCCTGAGGGGGAATGGAAACGGCCAATATACCCTGCCTAAGGGTGGCAAGGAAGCGGGTCCATGATACCCGCCTAGGTGGAATTGAACCATATACCCATCCAGGGAATTGAACGGCCATATTCCTGCACTGGGGTAATGGAACGGCCAATACCTGCTGAGGGGTAATGGAACGGCATATACCATGCTAAGGCTGGAATGGAACGGCATTTACCCGCCAAGGGTATGGAAATCGGCCAATATACCCGCTTAGTATTGGGGAATGGAAAGCCATTACCCTGCCTAAGGGAAGAAACGGCATTCCCTGCCTGAGGTGGGAATGGAAACGCCAATACCCAGCCTGAGGGGGATGGAAACGGCCAAATACCCTGCTAAGGTGGAATGGACAACGCCAAATACCCTGCTAGGGTGAATGGAACGGCCATAACCATGCACGGAGGGGAATGGGAAACGGCCAATAGGCCTGCCTAAGGGTGAATTGGAACGCCAATATACCCTGCTGAGGGATGGACGGCCAAATACTGGCCTAGAGGTGTTGGCAAACGACCGAAGAGAGGTCCTGATACATCCTTACAGTGTATATTGCCCACACCACAACTCAAAGTCCTTATTATTAAAGGTTTTCGGTCATACGATCATGTCTATCATACACACGGTGGAATGCTTTTCAGGCATAGAATTCAGGACCACAACCTCCGCTTTATAATTAGATCTTAGACCATGCACTGTAAAAAGCAGTCCATGTAAGGTTTTGCCAACCAACAGTGTAGTGGGCCAGCCAATCAGTGTTAGTTGTGGGACCAGCCATTCAGTGTATCAGTTGTTGCCAACCACAGGTGTAGTTTGCACAATAGGTAGTACAGTTTGGGCAACCAACATGCGTAGGTCCTACATCATCTCTAAATTAACCCAGCACCACGTACAACCTATAGGACAGTAATCCAGCAGCATCATCCTAATCATCAATAGACTACTACAGACATTCACTGTGGTCAGCACCCTCCAACAATCCTTAAGCTTCAACATTGACCATCAGATCCGCTACATCAAGCCACACCACTCAATCAGCATTGCAGTGATCTCATCTTCACTCCATGGTCCTTCAAGGGTAGAAGGGACGGCACACACACACAAACAAACCACACACACCACACACCCCCAACACACACACACCAAACACCAACACACACACACCAACAACAACACACACACACACACACACACACACACACACACACACACCTAGCGACTAACAAACACGAACTAGACACACACACCTTGAGGACTGAAGACCACTTGAGGACTCAGCAGACGACACCTTGAGGGACAGACAGCAAACTAGAGGGAACCTGACAGACACCCCTTGAGGACTAGACAAACCTTGAGGGACTAGACAGACACACCTTGAGGGACTAGACAGAACACCTTGAGGGACTAGACAGACACACCTTGAGGGACTAGACAGACACACCTTGAGGGACTAGACAGAACCCTTGAGGACTAGACAGACACACCTGAGGGACAGACACACCTTGAGGGACTAGACAGACCACTTGAGGGACTAGACAGATACACCTGAGGGACAGACCACACCTTGAGGGACTAGACAGACACACCTTGAGGGACCAGACAGACACACCTTGAGGGACTAGACACACCTGAGGGACTAGACAGACACACCTTGAGGGACTAGACAGACACACCTTGAGGGACTAGACAGACAACACCTTGAGGGACTAGACAGACACACCTTGAGGACTAGACAGACACACCTTGAGGGACCAGACATGACCACACCTTGAGGGACCAGACAGACACACCTTGAGGGACTAGACAGACACACCTTGAGGGACTAGACAGACACACCTTGAGGGACTAGACAGACACACCTTGAGGGACTAGACAGACACACCTTGAGGGACTAGACAGACACACCTTGAGGGACTAGACAGACACACCTTGAGGGACTAGACAGACACACCTTGAGGGACTAGACAGACACACCTTGAGGGACTAGACAGACACACCTTGAGGGACTAGACAGACACACCTTGAGGACTAGACAGACACACCTTGAGGGACTAGACAGACACACCTTGAGGGACTAGACAGACACACCTTGAGGGACTAGACAGACACACCTTGAGGGACTAGACAGAAATACCCTGAGGGACTTGGTACTGGAAGACACATATGACAGTTCAAACTAAACCCTGCACTGCTGAGCCTATGACAGCAAGCCTCGCAAACCACACCCTCTCACCATTGGCTGTTGTCTTTGGGCCACACTTAGCTGATTGGGCCTGGCCAGACGCTGGGGGCTGTAGGGGCGGAGCCTGGAACATGGGAGGAGTCGCCCAGCCTGAGTGACAGAAGGACAGAGGATGAGGAGGATAGAGCGAAGGGAGAGGAGACAGACTGAACACAACATGCTGATAACAATTTACTGGAACTGCAGACAAACTGTCCCTCACCTAGCCACTAGAGGGCAGACAAACTGTCCCTTTCTAGATGCCACTAGAGGACAGACATGCAGTAAGATCACCTAGCCACTAGAGGTCAGACATGCAGTAAGATCACCTAGCCACTAGAGGTCAGACATGCAGTAAGATCACCTAGCCACTAGAGGTCAGACATGCAGTAAGATCACCTAGCCACTAGAGGTCAGACATGCAGTAAGATCACCTAGCCACTAGAGGTCAGACATGCAGTAAGATCACCTAGCCACTAGAGGTCAGACACGCAGTAAGATCACCTAGCCACTAGAGGTCAGACATGCAGTAAGATCACCTAGCCACTAGAGGTCAGACATGCAGTAAGATCATCTAGCCACTAGAGGTCAGACATGCAGTAAGATCACCTAGCCACTAGAGGTCAGACATGCAGTAAGATCACCTAGCCACTAGAGGTCAGACATGCAGTAAGATCACCTAGATGCCACTAGAGGTCAGACATGCAGTAAGATCATCTAGCCACTAGAGGTCAGACATGCAGTAAGATCACCTAGCCACTAGAGGTCAGACATGCAGTAACATCATCTAGCCACTAGAGGTCAGACATGCAGTAAGATCACCTAGCCACTAGAGGTCAGACATGCAGTAAGATCACCTAGCCACTAGAGGTCAGACCAGGAGATGGTGCTGACTGACTGACCTGTAGAACTCAGACTGTGGTCCAGCAGCTGGGAGGGCAGGAAGCCGGTGGGACTGGGGGGCTGAGAGGGGGGGCAGGCTTCTCCAGTAGGGGTGGGGGGGACAGGGTCAGAGGACTCCAAGCAGCCCAAGGTGCCTTGCCACTCTCCACTGAACTCGTCTGCTTCCATTGGTCCAGGGCTCAGGAGGTCCTTCAGAAAGGCCATGTCCCCAGTCTCCCTGTCCTCCTCCTTGTCCCTCTGCCGTGCCCCGACCCCCACCCCGGCCCCCTGCTGCAGGGCCCCATCTGGAACACAGCACAGAGACAGACAAAGGGTTAGAAGCTGCATGTAGCCAGGTCATCACAGAACTATTCATTGGTATTGACTCATGTCAATAGAAAAACTGGCTGGTCTGAAACACCATTCACACAGAGGACAGAGACAGTTCAGGACCTGAGAGAAACCTGAGAGAGAGAGGGGAAATCAGTTGAAATCAAATGAGTCAGAAGACAACAGGGAGACTGAGATCAGAGAAACACCACACATCAGGTAGGAACAGCTCAAACCCCCAGTAAGACAGGTTTGATAGGAGAACAGGGGGAGGACTGGAGAAGAGGTAAGAGTTATCCAGGGGGAGGTGAGGACAGGAGAGGTAAGAGCCATCCAGGGGGAGGACAGGACAGGAGAGGTAAGAGCCACCCAGGGGGAGGACAGGACAGAAGAGGTAAGAGCCATCCAGGGGGAGGACAAGACAGGAGAGGTAAGAGCCATCCAGGGGGAGGACAGGACAGGAGAGGTAAGAGCCATCCAGGGGGGAGTGCAGTTGGCGAACGATTCGTTCTTTCTGAATGACTATTTTTACTGCCTTGATATCATTGCCATTAATATGGAGTTGGTCCCCCCTTTGCTGCTATAACAGCCTCCACTCTTCTGGGAAGGCTTTCCACTAGATGTTGGAACATTTCTGCAGGGACTTGCTTTCATTCAGCCACAAGAGCATTAGTGAGGTCGGGCACTGATGTTGGGCGATTAGGCCTGGCTTGCAGTCGGTGTTCCAATTCATCCCAAAGGTGTTCGATGGGGTTGAGGTCAGGGCTCTGTGCAGGCAAGTCAAGTTCTTCCACACCGATCTCGACAAACCATTTCTGTATGGACCTCGCTTTGTGCACAGGGGCATTGTCATGCTAAAACAGGGCCTTCCCCAAACTGTTGCCACAAAGTTGGATGCACAGAATCGTCTAGAATGTCATTGTATGCTGTAGCGTTAGGATTTCCCTTCACTGGAACTAAGGGGCCTAGCCAGAACCATGAAAAACAGCCCCAGACCATTATTCCTCCTCCACCAAACTTTACAGTTGGCACTATACATTCCAGCAAGTAGCGTTCTCCTAGCATCCACCAAACCCAGATTTGTGCGTCGGACTGCGAGATGGTGAAGCGTGATTCATCACTCCAGAGAACGCATTTCCACTGTTCCAGATTCCAATAGCGGCGAGCTTTACACCACTGCAGCCGACGCTTGGCATTGCGCATGGTGATCTTGTATGGGCTTGTATGCGGCTGCTCGGCCATGGAAACCCATTTCACGAAGCTCCCGACGAACAGTTCTTGTGCTAAAGTTTGGAACTCGGTAGTGAGTGTTGGAACCGAGGACAGGCACTTCAGCACTCGGCAGTCCCGTTCTGTGAGCTTGTGTGGCCTACCACTTTGCGGTTGAGCCGTTGTTGCTCCTAGACGTTTCCACTTCACAATAACAGCACTTACAGTTGACCGAGGCAGCTCTAGCAGGGCAGAAATTTGACGAACTGACTTGTTGGAAAGGTGGCATCCTATGACGGTGCCACGTTGAAAGTCACTGAGCTCTTCAGTAAGGCCATTCTACTGTCAATGTTTGTCTATGGAGATTGCATGGCGGTGTGCTCAGTTTTATAAACCTGTCAGCAACGGGTGTGGCTGAAATAGGCGAATCCACTCATTTGAAGGGGTGTCCACATACTGCTGTATATACAGTGTATTTTCGCAAGACAAAGGAGCCTGGAAAAGGGTAGATCATTATCCAGATCGCTACTATCCCCACGCTTATGGAGTGGCAGCGCAAAAACTGCTTTTAGAATATTTCCTAAAGTTAATTAAAAAATGTGCGTCATTGAGCCAGCAATGAGGGGCTGCTGCATACTTAAGCAAAGACGGGTCCCAAATGACTTATTAATAATAATAATAATAATATGCCATTTAGCAGACGCTTTTATCCAAAGCGACTTACAGTCATGCGTGCATACATTTTCTTTTGTGTACAGTCAACTGGAGGCTGTATGAAGAACAGTCAACTGGAGGCTGTATGAAGAACAGTCAACTGGAGGCTGTATGAAGAACAGTCAACTGGAGGCTGTATGAATAACAGTCAACTGGAGGCTGTATGAAGAACAGTCAACTGGAGGCTGTATGAAGAACAGTCAACTGGAGGCTGTATGAAGAACAGTCAACTGGAGGCTGTATGAAGAACAGTCAACTGGAGGCTGTATGAAGAACAGTCAACTGGAGGCTGTATGAAGAACAGTCAACTGGAGGCTGTATGAAGAACAGTCAACTGGAGGCTGTATGAAGAACAGTCAACTGGAGGCTGTATGAAGAACAGTCAACTGGAGGCTGTATGAAGAACAGTCAACTGGAGGCTGTATGAAGAACAGTCAACTGGAGGCTGTATGAAGAACAGTCAACTGGAGGCTGTATGAAGAACAGTCAACTGGAGGCTGTATGAAGAACAGTCAACTGGAGGCTGTATGAAGAACAGTCAACTGGAGGCTGTATGAACAACAGTCAACTGGAGGCTGTATGAACAACATCCACTGGGATAACAGTCAACTGGAGGCTATATGAAGAACAGTCAACTGGAGGCTGTATGAAGAACAGTCAACTGGAGGCTGGATGAAGAACAGTCAACTGGAGGCTGTATGAAGAACAGTCAACTGGAGGCTGTATGAAGAACAGTCAACTGGAAGCTGGATGAAGAACAGTCAACTGGAGGCTGTATGAAGAACAGTCACGTGGAGGCTGTATGAAGAACAGTCAACTGGAGGCTGTATGAAGAACAGTCAACTGGAGGCTGTATGAAGAACAGTCAACTGGAGGCTGTATGAAGAACAGTCAACTGGAGGCTGTATGAAGAACAGTCAACTGGAGGCTGTATGAAGAACAGTCAACTGGAGGCTGTATGAAGAACAGTCAACTGGAGGCTGTATGAAGAACAGTCAACTGGAGGCTGTATGAAGAACAGTCAACTGGAGGCTGTATGAAGAACAGTCAACTGGAGGCTGTATGAAGAACAGTCAGCTGACTGGCCCAGACCAGTATGATTTGTTGTTTTGACTGAAAAAGTCCAAAACATCAGTGTCAGTAAAAATAACTCTCCATCAGTAGAGGACAGGACAGGACAGGTAAGAGCCAACCTACTCCACCACCACCACAGTCAGGACAGGACAGGTAAGAGCCAACCTACTCCACCACCACCACAGGACAGGACAGGACAGGTAAGAGCCAACCTACTCCACCACCACCACAGGACAGGACAGGACAGGTAAGAGCCAACCTACTCCACCACCACCACAGGACAGGACAGGACAGGACAGGTAAGAGCCAACCTACTCCACCACCACCACAGGACAGGACAGGACAGGTAAGAGCCAACCTACTCCACCACCACCACAGGACAGGACAGGACAGGTAAGAGCCAACCTACTCCACCACCACGACAGGACAGGACAGGTAAGAGCCAACCTACTCCACCACCACCACAGGACAGGACAGGACAGGTAAGAGCCAACCTACTCCACCACCACCACAGGACAGGACAGGACAGGTAAGAGCCAACCTACTCCACCACCACCACAGGACAGGACAGGACAGGTAAGAGCCAACCTACTCCACCACCACCACAGGACAGGACAGGTAAGAGCCAACCTACTCCACCACCACCACAGGACAGGACAGGACAGGTAAGAGCCAACCTACTCCACCACCACCACAGGACAGGACAGGACAGGTAAGAGCCAACCTACTCCACCACCACCACAGGACAGGACAGGACAGGTAAGAGCCAACCTACTCCACCACCACAGGACAGGACAGGACAGGTAAGAGCCAACCTACTCCACCACCACCACAGGACAGGACAGGACAGGACAGGACAGGACAGGTAAGAGCCAACCTACTCCACCACCACCACAGGACAGGACAGGACAGGTAAGAGCCAACCTACTCCACCACCACCACAGGACAGGACAGGACAGGTAAGAGCCAACCTACTCCACCACCACCACAGACAGGACAGGACAGGACAGGACAGGTAAGAGCCAACCTACTCCACCACCACCACAGGACAGGACAGGTAAGAGCCAACCTACTCCACCACCACCACAGGACAGGACAGGACAGGACAGGACAGGACAGGTAAGAGCCAACCTACTCCACCACCACCACAGGACAGGACAGGACAGGACAGGACAGGTAAGAGCCAACCAGTCAGGACAGGACAGGTAAGAGCCAACCTACTCCACCACCACCACAGGACAGGACAGGACAGGTAAGAGCCAACCTACTCCACCACCACCACAGGACAGGACAGGACAGGTAAGAGCCAACCTACTCCACCACCACCACCACAGTCAGGCCAGGACAGGACAGGACAGGTAAGAGCCAACCTACTCCACCACCACCACAGGACAGGACAGGACAGGACAGGACAGGACAGGACAGGTAAGAGCCAACCTACTCCACCACCACCACAGGACAGGACAGGACAGGACAGGACAGGTAAGAGCCAACCAGTCAGGACAGGACAGGTAAGAGCCAACCTACTCCACCACCACCACAGGACAGGACAGGACAGGTAAGAGCCAACCTACTCCACCACCACCACAGGACAGGACAGGACAGGTAAGAGCCAACCTACTCCACCACCACCACAGGACAGGACAGGACAGGTAAGAGCCAACCTACTCCACCACCACCACAGGACAGGACAGGACAGGTAAGAGCCAACCTACTCCACCACCACCACAGGACAGGACAGGACAGGTAAGAGCCAACCTACTCCACCACCACCACAGGACAGGACAGGACAGGACAGGACAGGACAGGTAAGAGCCAACCAGTCAGGACAGGACAGGTAAGAGCCAACCTACTCCAGTCGTCAGCCTGTTTACCAGTGAGGCTCCTAGGGAGAGAGAGATGTGTGAGGCTGCTGGGCTGCACACCTCCAAAACCCCAGGGACCACCAGAGGGTGCTGTGGTCTGTAGAGGGGGCAGAAGCTGCATGGAGGAGGAGAGGCCAGGCTGGGGCTGGTCACAGGCCAGGAGGAAGAGCTCGTCATCGGTGCTGGCTGTACTGAACTGCCCACTGAGATCACACAGGGCTGAGGAACAGGAGGAGGGTTAGAGAGGACAGGGTTGGAAAACAGGAGGATGGTTAGAGAGGACAGGGTTGGAGAACAGGAGGATGGTTAGAGACACAGGGCTGAGGAACAGGAGGAGGGTTAGAGAGGACAGGGTTAGAGAACAGGAGGATGGTTAGAGAGGACAGGGTTGGAGAACAGGAGGAGGGTTAGAGAGGACAGGGTTGGAGAACAGGAGGATGGTTAGAGAGGACAGGGTTGGAGAACAGGAGGATGGTTAGAGACACAGGGCTGAGGAACAGGAGGAGGGTTAGAGAGGACAGGGTTGGAGAACAGGAGGATGGTTAGAGAGGACAGGGTTGGAGAACAGGAGGATGGTTAGAGAGGACAGGGTTGGAGAACAGGAGGATGGTTAGAGACACAGGGTTGGAGAACAGGAGGATGGTTAGAGACACAGGGTTGGAGAACAGGAGGATGGTTAGAGAGGACAGGGTTGGAGAACAGGAGGATGGTTAGAGACACAGGGTTGGAGAACAGGAGGATGGTTAGAGACACAGGGTTGGAAAACAGGAGGATGGTTTGAGAGGACAGGGTTGGAGAACAGGAGGATGGTTAGAGAGGACAGGGTTGGAGAACAGGAGGATGTTAGAGAGGACAGGGTTGGAGAACAGGAGGATGGTTAGAGAGGACAGGGTTGAGAACAGGAGGATGGTTAGAGAGGACAGGGCTGGGGTACAGGAGGATGGTTAGAGACACAGGGTTGGAGAACAGGAGGATGGTTAGAGAGGACAGGGTTGGAGAACAGGAGGATGGTTAGAGAGGACAGGGTTGGAGAACAGGAGGATGGTTAGAAAGGACAGGGCTGGGGTACAGGAGGATGGTTAGAGACAAAGGGTTGGAAAACAGGAGGATGGTTAGAAAGGACAGGGTTGGAGAACAGGAGGATGGTTAAAGAGGACAGGGTTGGAGAACAGGAGGATGGTTAGAGAGGACAGGGTTGGAGAACAGGAGGATGGTTAGAGAGGACAGGGCTGGGCTACAGGAGGATGGTTAGAGAGGACAGGGTTGGAGAACAGGAGGATGGTTAGAGAGGACAGGGTTGGAGAACAGGAGGATGGTTAGAGAGGACAGGGTTGGAGAACAGGAGGATGGTTAGAGACACAGGGTTGGAGAACAGGAGGATGGTTAGAGAGGACAGGGTTGGAGAACAGGAGGATGGTTAGAGAGGACAGGGTTGGAGAACAGGAGGTTGGTTAGAGAGGACAGGGCTGGGGTACAGGAGGATGGTTAGAGAGGACAGGGCTGGGGTACAGGAGGATGGTTAGAAAGGACAGGGTTGGAGAACAGGAGGATGGTTAGAGAGGACAGGGCTGGGCTACAGGAGGTTGGTTAGAGAGGACAGGGTTGGAGAACAGGAGGATGGTTAGAGAGGACAGGGTTGGAGAACAGGAGGATGGTTAGAGAGGACAGGGCTGGGGTACAGGAGGATGGTTAGAGAGGACAGGGTTGGAGAACAGGAGGATGGTTAGAGAAGACAGGGTTGGAGAACAGGAGGATGGTTAGAGAGGACAGGGCTGGGGTACAGGAGTATGGTTAGAGAGGACAGGGTTGGAGAACAGGAGGTTGGTTAGAGAGGACAGGGTTGGAGAACAGGAGGTTGGTTAGAGAGGACAGGGCTGGGGTACAGGAGGATGGTTAGAGAGGACAGGGCTGGGGTACAGGAGGATGGTTAGAGAGGACAGGGTTGGAGAACAGGAGGATGGTTAGAGAGGACAGGGCTGGGCTACAGGAGGTTGGTTAGAGAGGACAGGGCTGGGGTACAGGAGAATGGTTAGAGAGGACAGGGTTGGAGAACAGGAGGATGGTTAGAGAGGACAGGGCTGGGGTACAGGATGGTTAGAGAGGACAGGGTTGGAGAACAGGAGGATGGTTAGAGAGGACAGGGTTGGAGAACAGGAGGTTGGTTAGAGAGGACAGGGCTGGGGTACAGGAGGATGGTTAGAGAGGACGGGGCTGGGGTACAGGAGGATGGTTAGAGAGGACAGGGCTGGGGTACAGGAGGATGGTTAGAGAGGACAGGGCTGGAGAACAGGAGGATGGTTAGAGAGGACAGGGCTGGGGTACAGGAGGATGGTTAGAGAGGACAGGGTTGGAGAACAGGAGGATGGTTAGAGAGGACAGGGCTGGGGTACAGGAGGATGGTTAGAAAGGACAGGGTTGGAGAACAGGAGGTTGGTTAGAGAGGACAGGGTTGGAGAACAGGAGGATGGTTAGAGAGGACAGGGCTGGGGTACAGGAGGATGGTTAGAGAGGACAGGGTTGGAGAACAGGAGGATGGTTAGAGAGGACAGGGTTGGAGAACAGGAGGATGGTTAGAGAGGACAGGGATGGGGTACAGGAGGATGGTTAGAGAGGACAGGGTTGGAGAACAGGAGGATGGTTAGAGTGGACAGGGCTGGGGTACAGGAGGATGGTTAGAGAGGACAGGGTTGGAGAACAGGAGGTTGGTTAGAGAGGACAGGGTTGGAGAACAGGAGGATGGTTAGAGAGGACAGGGCTGGGGTACAGGAGGATGGTTAGAGAGGACAGGGTTGGAGAACAGGAGGATGGTTAGAGAGGACAGGGTTGGAGAACAGGAGGATGGTTAGAGAGGACAGGGCTGGGGTACAGGAGGATGGTTAGAGAGGACAGGGTTGGAGAACAGGAGGATGGTTAGAGAGGACAGGGCTGGGGTACAGGAGGATGGTTAGAGAGGAAAGGGTTGGAGAACAGGAGGATGGTTAGAGAGGACAGGGCTGGGGTACAGGAGGATGGTTAGAGAGGACAGGGCTGGGGTACAGGAGGATGGTTAGAGAGGACAGGGCTGGGGTACAGGAGGATGGTTAGAGAGGACAGGGTTGGAGAACAGGAGGATGGTTAGAGAGGACAGGGTTGGGGTACAGGAGGATGGTTAGAAAGGACAGGGTTGGAGAACAGGAGGATGGTTAGAGAGGACAGGGCTGGGGTACAGGAGGATGGTTAGAGAGGACAGGGTTGGAGAACAGGAGGATGGTTAGAGAGGACAGGGTTGGAGAACAGGAGGATGGTTAGAGAGGACAGGGCTGGGGTACAGGAGGATGGTTAGAGAGGACAGGGTTGGAGAACAGGAGGATGGTTAGAGTGGACAGGGCTGGGGTACAGGAGGATGGTTAGAGAGGACAGGGTTGGAGAACAGGAGGTTGGTTAGAGAGGACAGGGTTGGAGAACAGGAGGATGGTTAGAGAGGACAGGGCTGGGGTACAGGAGGATGGTTAGAGAGGACAGGGTTGGAGAACAGGAGGATGGTTAGAGAGGACAGGGTTGGAGAACAGGAGGATGGTTAGAGAGGACAGGGCTGGGGTACAGGAGGATGGTTAGAGAGGACAGGGTTGGAGAACAGGAGGATGGTTAGAGAGGACAGGGCTGGGGTACAGGAGGATGGTTAGAGAGGAAAGGGTTGGAGAACAGGAGGATGGTTAGAGAGGACAGGGCTGGGGTACAGGAGGATGGTTAGAGAGGACAGGGCTGGGGTACAGGAGGATGGTTAGAGAGGACAGGGCTGGGGTACAGGAGGATGGTTAGAGAGGACAGGGTTGGAGAACAGGAGGATGGTTAGAGAGGACAGGGTTGGGGTACAGGAGGATGGTTAGAAAGGACAGGGTTGGAGAACAGGAGGATGGTTAGAGAGGACAGGGCTGGGGTACAGGAGGATGGTTAGAGAGGACAGGGTTGGAGAACAGGAGGATGGTTAGAGAGGACAGGGTTGGAGAACAGGAGGTTGGTTAGAGAGGACAGGGCTGGGGTACAGGAGGATGGTTAGAGAGGACAGGGCTGGGGTACAGGAGGATGGTTAGAGAGGACAGGGCTGGGGTACAGGAGGATGGTTAGAGAGGACAGGGCTGGGGTACAGGAGGATGGTTAGAGAGGACAGGGCTGGGGTACAGGAGGATGGTTAGAGAGGACAGGGCTGGGGTACAGGAGGATGGTTAGAAAGGACAGGGCTGGGCTACAGGAGGATGGTTAGAGACTAAAGCGTGAAACCAGAAGCAGGTGGGCGGAGTTAGCAGAGCGGCAGAGCGGTGAAACCAATAGACAGCGAGAACATCATCGTGATTCTAGCTTGGTTGGGGTGTACTCAGTAGCTAGCAAAATGTTATAGGTCTCTGGCACTTTAAATGAATGAATCCCCGTCAGTTATCTTTAGTATCTACATAGCTAACACCATCAGTAGCAAAGTAGTGTTTCTAGCAACTTTGGGAAGATTAAAGAAATGCAATTTTGTGCCCCCAGCTAATTTTCAGTAGCTGGGAGCTTGCAGTGTCTGATACTTGTGAGATGTTGTGGTGGAACACGTGAACATTGCATGTACTGTCAGAACAGTTTGGTGAGCTCCTGATAGGTGGGCTGGTAGCTACTGTTAGATGGTGATGGACCCGTTGGAGACCCCTGATGTCTGGTAAAGCCTCAACCCTTAGCTACCTGTTGGAGACCCCTGATGTCTGGTAAAGCCTCAACCCTTAGCTACCTGTTGGAGACCCCTGATGTCTGGTAAAGCCTCAACCCTTAGCTACCTGTTGGAGACCCTGATGTCTGGTAAAGCCTCAACCCTTAGCTACCTGTTGGAGACCCCTGATGTCTGGTAAAGCCTCAACCCTTAGCTACCTGTTGGAGACCCCTGATGTCTGGTAAAGCCTCAACCCTTAGCTACCTGTTGGAGACCCCTGATGTCTGGTAAAGCCTCAACCCTTAGCTACCTGTTGGAGACCCCTGATGTCTGGTAAAGCCTCAACCCTTAGCTACCTGTTGGAGACCCCTGATGTCTGGTAAAGCCTCAACCCTTAGCTACCTGTTGGAGACCCCGGGATGTCTGGTAAAGCCTCAACCCTTAGCTACCTGTTGGAGACCCCTGATGTCTGGTAAAGCCTCAACCCTTAGCTACCTGTTGGAGACCCCTGATGTCTGGTAAAGCCTCAACCCTTAGCTACCTGTTGGAGACCCCTGATGTCGGGAAAAGCCTAAACCCCCTTACACCTTTGGGAAAACCCCGATGTCTGGTTAAAGCCCCCCCTTAGCCCTTTGGAGACCCCTGAGTCGGGAAAAGTAACCCCTTACTAACCTTTTGGAGCCCCCTGTGTTGGTAAACCCCTAACCCTTAGCACCTGTTGGGACCCCGATGTCTGGTAAAAGCCCAACCCTTACTCCCTGGGGGAGCCCCCTATTGGTAAAGCTCAACCTTGCTCCCTGTTGGAGACCCCTGATTCTGGTTAAACCCTCAACCCTAGCTACCTTTTGAGACCCGAGTCTGGTAAGCCTCAACCTTGCACCTTTGGCCCCCTGGTCTGGTAAAGCTAAACCCTTATACCTGTTGGAGCCCCCTGATTCTGGTAAAGCCTCAACCCTTAGCCCCCTTTTGGAGACCCCTGTGTTGGAAAAGCCTCAACCTTAGCTCCCTGTTGGAGCCCCCTGATGTCTGGAAAAGGGCCTAAACCCTTTTCTCCCTGTTGGAGACCCTGATGTCGGGTAAGCTCAACCCTTGCTACCTTTTGGAGACCCCTGTTCGGTAAAGCCTCAACCCCTTAGCATGTTGGAACCCCTATGTGGGGAAAAAGCCTAACCCTTACACCTGTTGGAGCCCCCTGAGTCTGGTAAACCCACCCTTAGTACCTTTGGAGACCCCTATGTTGGAAAAAGCCTACCCTTAGCTCCCTGTTGGAGACCCCTGATGTTGGTAAACCTAAACCCTTAGCTACCTTTTTGGAGCCCCCGATGTCTGGTAAAGCCTAAAACCCTTAGCTACCTGTTGGAGACCCCTGTGTGGAAAGGGCCTAAAACCTTAGCTCCCTTTTGGGACCCTGATGTCTGGTAAACGCCTCAACCTTAGCTACCCGTCAGAGACCCCTTGATGTCTGGTAAAGCCTCAACCCTTAGCTACCTGTTGGAGACCCTGATGTCTGGTAAAGCCTCAAGCCTAGCTACCATGTTGGAGACCCCTGATGTCTGGTAAAGCCTCAACCCTTAGCTACCTGTTGGAGACCCCTGATGTCTGGTAAAGCCTCAACCCTTAGCTACCTGTTGGAGACCCTGATGTCTGGTAAAGCCTCAACCCTTAGCTACCTGTTGGAGACCCCTGATGTCTGGTAAAGCCTCAACCCTTAGCTACCTGTTGGAGACCCCTGATGTCTGGTAAAGCCTCAACCCTTAGCTACCTGTTGGAGACCCCTGATGTCTGGTAAAGCCTCAACCCATAGCTACCTGTTGGAGACCCCTGATGTCTGGTAAAGCCTCAACTCTTAGCTATCTTTTCCAATTCAGATTAGCTAAATAAAAGTGAATAAGGACAACATTTGTATTATTTTGTGTGACTACAGCGCCAGGGATAAAACGCAATAATAGAGACACGTTCTAACTGAGCAGAGCTTTTACTACCCACCTGCCCCGGCTTTCGGTTGGGTCATTATCATTCACAACAATGCATTGTAAAATAAATCCCACGCATCCCTTTGGTGAGTTGAGGCCATAACGTTCACTGAACACACACACAGCTTGCTTCTGCACAGAACAATGCCATAAAGCATCACTACACACACACGTACCAGAGTCCAGACTTGCACACAGAGAGCTGTCACTGATGTGGCTCTGTCCATCAGCAGAATGGGAGGGGCCTGTAAAGGAAACCACATCAAGTACATCATGTAATTCCATTCCACTGAACATGTTATAGCATATCTAGTCCAGTAGGGGTCAGTATATAATGTAATGTTATAGCATATCTAGCCCAGTAGGGGTCAGTATATAATGTAATGTTATAGCATATCTAGTCCATTAGGGGTCAGTATATAATGTAATGTTATAGCATATCTAGCCCAGTAGGGGTCAGTATATAATGTAATGTTATAGCATATCTAGCCCAGTAGGGGTCAGTATATAATGTAATGTTATAGCATATCTAGTCCAGTAGGGGTCAGTATATAATGTAATGTTATAGCATATTAGTCCAGTAGGGGTCAGTATATAATGTTAATGTTATAGCATATCTAGTCCAGTAGGGGTCAGTATATAATGTAGGTTTTATAGCATATCTAGTCCAGTAGGGGTCAGTATATAATGTAATGTTATAGCATATCTAGCCCAGTAGGGGTCAGTATATAATGTAATGTTATAGCATATCTAGCCCAGTAGGGGTCATATATAATGTAAGTTTAGCAATCAGCCCAGAGGGGGCATATAAAGTAGTTATAGCAATGTAGTCCTAGGGGTCATATAAATGTAAAGTTATAGCAAATTAGCCCAGTAGGGGTCGTTATTTAAGTTATGCATATTGCCCATTTGGGGGGAGTACTACCAAGGGCTGATTCTGAGGCTTCTCTTCATCCAGGGAGACCCAAGAAGGAGGAAGGAAAAAGGATTGTTGGTATTTTTTTAAAGGTCCCATTAGCTGTTGCCAAGGCAGGCAGCTGCTCTTCCTGGGGTTTATTAGGATCACCATTAGCTGTTGCCAAGGCAGCAGCTGCTCTTCCTGGGGTTTATTATGGATCCCCATTAGTTCCTGCCAAAGCAGCAGCTGCTCTTCCTGGGGTTTATTAGGATCCCATTAGCTGTTGCCAAGGCAGCAGCTGCTCTTCCTGGGGTTTATTATGGATCCCCATTAGCTGTTGCCAAGGCAGCAGCTGCTCTTCCTGGGGTTTATTAGGATCACCATTAGCTGTTGCCAAGGCAGCAGCTGCTCTTCCTGGGGTTTATTAGGATCACCATTAGCTGTTGCCAAGGCAGCAGCTGCTCTTCCTGGGTTTATTAGGATCACCATTACTGTTGCCAAGGCAGCAGCTGCTCTTCCTGGGGTTTATTAGGATCACCATTAGCTGTTGCCAAGGCAGCAGCTGCTCTTCCTGGGGTTTATTAGGATCCCCATTAGCTGTTGCCAAGGCAGCAGCTGCTCTTCCTGGGGTTTATTATGGATCACCATTAGCTGTTGCCAAAGCAGCAGCTGCTCTTCCTGGGGTTTATTAGGATCCCCATTAGCTGTTGCCAAGGCAGCAGCTACTCTTCCTGGGGTTTATTATGGATCCCCATTAGCTGTTGCCAAAGCAGCAGCTGCTCTTCCTGGGGTCCAAAACATGAAACATGACATAATACAGAACATTAATAGACAAGAACAGCTCAAGGACAGAACTACACTGAACAGAACTACACTGAACAGAACTACACTGAACAGAACTACACTGAACAGAACTACACTGAACAGAAATATACTGAACAGAAATATACTGAATAGAACTACACTGAACAGAACTACACTGAACAGAACTACACTGAACAGAAATATACTGAACAGAAATATACTGAATAGAACTACACTGAACAGAACTACACTGAACAGAACTACACTGAACAGAACTACACTGAACAGAAATATACTGAACAAAAATATACTGAATAGAACTACACTGAACAGAACTACACTGAACAGAACTACACTGAACAGAACTACACTGAACAGAACTACACTGAACAGAAATATACTGAACAAAAATATACTGAACAGAAATATACTGAACAAAATATACTGAACAGAATATACTGAACAGAAATATAAAAACAACATGTAAAGTGTTGGTCCCATGTTTAAGGAGCTGAAATAAAAGATCCCGGCACATTTTCCATACAAACAAAAGCTTATTTCTCTCCAATTTTGTGCACAAATTTGTTTACATTCCTGTTAGTGAGCATTTATTATTTGCCAAGATAATCCATTCACCTGACAGGTGTAGCATTTCAAGAAGCTGATTAAACAGCATTATCATTACACAGGTGCACCTTGTGCTGGGGACAATAAAAGGCCACTCTAAAATGTACAGTTTTGTCACACAACACAACGCCACAGATTTTTTTAGGGAGCGTGCAATTGGCATGCTGACTACAGCAATGTCCACCAGAACTATTGCTAGAGAATTGAATGTTCATTTCTCTACCATAAACGTTTCTCAACGTCGTTATAGAGAACTTGCAAGTACATCTAACCGGCCTCACACATCCGACATCTTCACCTGTGGGATCGTCTGAGACCAGCCACCCGGACAGCTGATGAAACTGTGGGTTTGCACAACCGAAGAATTTCAGCACAAACTGTCAGAAACCATCTCAGGGAATCTCCTCTGCGTGCTCACCAGGGTCTTGACCTGACTGCAGTTCGGTCTCGTAACCGACTTCAGTGGGCAAATGCTCACCTTCGATGGCCAATGGCACGCTGGAGAAGTGTGCTCTTCACGGATGAATCCCGGTTTCAACTGTACCGGGCAGATAGCAGACAGAGTATGGCGTTGTGTGGGCAAGCGATTTGCTGATGTCAACGTTGTGAACGGAGAGCCCCATGGTGGTGGTGGGGTTATGGTACGTTGTGAACGGAGAGCCCCATGGTGGTGGTGGGGTTATGGTACGTTGTGAACGGAGAGCCCCATGGTGGTGGTGGGGTTATGGTACTGGCAGCGTTGTGAACGGGGGGGGCCCCATGGTGGTGGTGGGGTTTATGGTACGTTGTGAACGGAGAGCCCCATGGTGGTGGTGGGGTTATGGTACGTTGTGAACGGAGAGCCCCATGGTGGTGGTGGGGTTATGGTACGTTGTGAACGGAGAGCCCCATGGTGGTGGTGGGGTTATGGTACGTTGTGAACAGAGAGCCCCATGGTGGTGGTGGGGTTATGGTACGTTGTGAACGGAGAGCCCCATGGTGGTGGTGGGGTTATGGTACTGGCAGCGTTGTGAACGGAGAGCCCCATGGTGGTGGTGGGGTTATGGTACATTGTGAACGGAGAGCCCCATGGTGGTGGTGGGGTTATGGTACTGGCAGCGTTGTGAACGGAGAGCCCCATGGTGGTGGTGGGGTTATGGTACTGGCAGGCTTGTGAACGGAGAGCCCCATGGTGGTGGTGGGGTTATGGTACGTTGTGAACGGAGAGCCCCATGGTGGTGGTGTTATGGTACGTTGTGAACGGAGAGCCCCATGGTGGTGGTGGGGTTATGGTACGTTGTGAACGGAGAGCCCCATGGTGGTGGTGGGGTATGGTACTGGCAGGCATAAACTACGGACAACGAACATAATTGCATTTTATCAGTGGCAATTTGAATGCACAGAGATACCATGATGAGATCCTGAGGCCCATTGTAGTGCCATTCATCTGCTGCCATCACCTCAGGTTTCAGCATGATAATGCATAGACCCATGTGGCAAGGATTTGTACACAATTCCTGGAAGCTGAAAATGTCCCAGTTGTTCCATGGCCTGCATAATTACCAGACATGTCACCCATTGAGCATGTTTGGGATGCTCCAGATCGACATATACGACAGCGTGTTCCAGTTCCCGCCAATATCCAGCAACTTTGCATAGTCATTGAAGAGGAGTGGGACAACATTCCACAGGCCACAATCAACAGCCTGATCAACTCTATGCGAAGGCGATGTCGCGCTGCATGAGGCAAACGGTGGTCACACAAGATACTGACTGGTTTTCTGATCCACTCCCCTAACATTTTTTAAAGACATCTGTGACCAACAGATGCATATCTGTATTCCCAGTCATGTGAAATCCATAGATTAGGGCCTAATTTATTTATTTCAATTGACTGATTTCCTTATATGAACTGTAACTCAGTAAAATCTTTGAAATTGTTGCATGTTGCATTTATATTTTTTGTACAGCGTACATAAATGTAGAAACAGCACGCATAGCCTACATATCAATACATACATAAAATATCTAGGTCAAATAGGGGAGAGATGTTGTGCCGTGAGATGTTGCTTATCTGTTTTTTGAAACCAGGTTTGCTGTTCATTTGAGCAATATGAGATGGAAGGAAGTTCTACGCAATAATGGCTCAATATAATACTGTATGCTTTCTTGAATTTGTTCTGGATTTGGGGACTGTGAAAAGACCCCTGGTGGCATGTCTGGTGGGGTACGTGTGTGTGTCAGAGCTGTGTGTAAGTTGACTATGCAAACAATTTAGAATTTACTATTTTGTTTTGGAGGTGTTCAGAACAAGGTTAAGGGCAGAGAAAGCTTATTGGACACTAAGAAAGCTTTGTTGTAGAGAGTTTAATACAAAATCTGGGGAGGGGCCAGCTGAGTATAAGACTGTTTCATCTGCATATAAATGGATGAGAGAGCTTCCTACTGCCTGAGCTGTGTTGTTGATGTAAATTGAGAAGAGCGTGGGGCCTAGGATGGAGCTTTGGGGTACTCCCTTGGTGACAGGCAGTGGCTGAGACACCAGACGTTCTGACTTTATACACTGCACTCTTTGAGAGAGGTAGTTAGCAAACCAGGCCAAAGACCCCTCAGAGACACCAATACTCCTTAGCCGGCCCACAAGGATGGTTTTTGCGACTGCACTTGAAGAAACTTTCAAAGTTCTTGAAATTGTCTGTATTGACTGACCTTCATGTCTTCTGTATACCCCCCTACCTTGTCACAACACAACTGATTGGCTCAAACGCATTAAGAAGGAAAGAAATTCCACAAATTAACTTTTAACAAGGCACACCTGTTAATTGAAATGCATTCCAGGTGACTACCTCATGAAGCTGGTTGAGAGAATGCCAAGCGTGTGCAAAGCTGTCATCAAGGCAAAGGGTGGCTACTACTACATGATTCCATATGTGGT